AAACCATTTAAACTGGGTGTTCGGATTTATATGTCACTTAGTATACAAAATAACGATCTATCCTTAACTGTTGAGACGATCAAGCTGTGTCAAATTCGAATCCTGATGTGAATGTCCTTACCACCGGATCCTATCTAATCGACTACATCCTTTTTCTGAAATAAAATGCTTTCTGTATGAGAAAACAGTGAGTCATTTCATCATTCACGGATGTTCTGAAACCTATCATCACCCGCATTCTTGACTTTATTTAGTCAGATGATTTGAAATTCATGAGCACAAACCTCGGAGGCTATTCTCAACAATCTTACTATATCGAAACCCGTCCTACGATTGTATAGGTAGCGATCGTTAAAAATGGCATCAGATGATGTATAATACCATATACGGTGAAAACAACAAAACAATCGTGTTCCGAATCCCCCGGATATGTACGAGACTTTACAATGAGACGATTCATGCTAAGGTCGTATGAAGGCATTGATTACCAGATGAACAAATAGTAAATAGTGTAATCATGTTTGTGAATACATTAAGATGTCAATACCAACATGCCTAGCACTGGTCTGGAAGGTATTCAAGTTTTGGTAAGTCAAGCTCGAGGATGCAAAATTGTATTTGAAAATAGTTTTACTTTACGAGGGATGTCTTTTAAGTTTTGCATGGAGAAACATAGTAGGCCGCGGGGATCGAACGTCAGTACTGACCTCTTTTGTAAACTTAAATTCAAAGTTTCACAACAATACGTGCAGCGTTCTCACTGCAGTGAATTTTTAAGTGTCGTAAAGTCATTAGAAAAATGGAACTCAACCGAGAACATTTTCGCGCCATAATTTATTACAACTTTCAGAGACAATTATCGCAACAAGAATGCCTTGCTGAGTTACTGTCTTGTTTTCGGAAACGAAGCGCCACATCAGTCGACAATTTCCCGTTGGTATGGAGAATTCAAACGTGAAGGGGTGAGTCTGAGCGACGATCCCAGGGTGGGTGCACCCAGGAAAACGTCGATGCTGTGCACAAACTCATCATTGAAGATAGACATGTGGCATATCGCGAGATTGAGGCGTCCTTGAAGATCTCAAAGTCTTCAATTCAAAAAATTTTACATGAAGAATTAGGAGTAAGAAAATTAGTTTCTCGTTGGATACCCCACCTGTTGACTGAAGAGCAGAAAGCAGCCAGGGTTAATTGGTGTCAAAAAACGTTGACCACTAAAACTACACAAGTTTGGCGACAAATGCAATGTAAAAAATGCAATGTAAAAACGAATTTTTTGGCAAAACGGATAATTTGTCTTTTGTTGTATACGTACTTGATGGTTGCAGAGGACTATGAATTCTTTTTTAATTTTTCAAGGCGGAATAATAATCATTTCAATGTGCCCGGGGCGGTTTTACTTATCTTGAAATGTGACATTTTGTCAAACGACTTTATACTTCGACTGTTACTCTTTGTTTTGAAGTGTTATGCATCGAAATAAGACAGCACAAAGTGCCATCTGTTACCAGAATCGACCACCGCGAAAGTGAAAACGGTGTTGTGCATGTACCAATTTTCATGATTATTGGATAGTTCTGCTTCAGGATTTTGAACTATGGTGGTTGAGTAATATCACAGGAGAAGTTTGAACCAACGCACAGTGGACCAAAAATCCTAAAAACTCATGAGCTTATAATGGTAAAAATGATTCGCTAAGTTATCGATTAGGTTCCAAGCTTATGAAAAATGTGAATAACAATGCAATTAGTTCAAACTGTAATTTACTTTCGTCCATCGCAAGTGACAGCTTCTCCAGTCCAATTACCGCGTCGACATTGCAACTTACTTGTTGTGGATTACAATTTCAAGCCTAGTGTTTCCGCGTAGTGATAATATTTATTATTATTTACCTGTTTTGATGTAAACACATGCATTTTGGAGTTTTATATAATTTTTTTATTGAAAGTTGTTTTTGCTAGATTTTTTTCTTGGAAAATTAATTTATTTCGAGTTATAAACTTTTGACTGCGCCTTGCTGCAGCTGAGATAAATATTATCTTAAAATAGAGAATGTCTAGACTATGGGCATACGAGGGATGTCGTTTAAGTTTTGCATATAGAAACATAGTAGGCCGCGCGGATCGAACGTCAGTACTGAATCTTAACCTCACTCTTTAGTAACCTTAAATTCAAAGTTTCACAACAATACGTGAAGCGTTCTTACTAAAGTGAATTTTTAAGTGTCGCAAAGTCATTAGAAAAATGGAACTCAACCGAGAACATTTTGGTGCCATAATTTATCACAACTTTCAGAGACAATTATCGCAACAAGAATGACTTGCTGAGTTATTGTCTGTTTTCGGCAACGAAGCGCCACATCAATCGACAATTTATTTCCCGTTGATATGGAGAATTCAAACGTGGACGGGTGAGTTTTAGCGACGATCCCAGGGTGGGTGCACCCAGGAAAACGTCGATGCTGGGCGCAAACTCATCATTGAAGATAGACATATCGCGAGATTGAGGCGTCCTTGAAGTTCTCAAAGACCTCAATTCAAGACATGCCACATGAAGAATTAGGAGTAAGAAAACTAGTTTCTCGTTGGATGAAGAGCAGAAAGCAGCGAGGGTTAATTGGTGTCAAAAAACGCTTGACCGTTTCAATTCTGGAAACTCGAAAAATGTGTACAGCATTGTTATCGTGAATCGTGGATTTACTGTTATGAATCAGAAAATAAACGACAGTCGGCTGTTTGGGTGTTCCAAGGTGAAGAAAAGCCAACAAAAGGCATCCGTTCTCGAAGTGTTTCGGGGTCGCGACATTTGTGTCAAAAGTGGGTCACATTGCACAAATTCCTCTTAATGAGCAAAGAACTGTTACTGCGGATTGGTATACCACCATTTGTTTGCCAAAAGTCGTCACCGAGCTTCGAAAAATCAACCCCGAAAGAAGAATCATCCTCCACCAAGACAATGCAAGCTCGCACACAGCACAAGGCAGTATTTAACGGACGAAAACGTGGAATTATTGGACCATATAGTCCCGATCTAAGTCATTTAAAACTACCTACTGAGTTGTTTTATTTCCATATGCAAAACTTAAAAGACATCTCTCGTATAGGTTTCATCTGAACCTTGCTGCTCCTTCTTAGGTTAGTGAGGTACCGAACGATATATGTTCATAGTTCAGAAGAAAGAGGTGTTTTCCAGATCCAATTGTTGTTTTAGGTAAATTTTTTAAGTATTCTGTTCCGCGGAGGACTATTTTTGATATTTGGCACTCTGAAGAGGGCAGTGGTTGACGAATGTTACCTGTTAAAAAAAGACATATTGATAAAATCTGTGTTGGATTTGTTAAGTTAATTGTTTCCATTGTTTGCCCTTATTGTGAACTGTTTTATTTTATTTCTTAAATACAGGGTGGCCCATAAGTCCTTTGAGCTGGAAAAAAAGGAATAAAACCAAACTAGTTACATTATGAAGAATTATTATATTTTGTTATCATCTTTATTGAATGGGAATTATGTTTTAAAAATCACATCGTCTAAATGGAATCCACTACGATCACGGCACTCATATAAACGACGTCTAAAATTGTCGATGACTGCGCGGCAAGTCAACACTGTAATGCTTGCCATTTCTCTTCGGATATTTTCTTTCAGGACATCAACTGATCGCGGAGTGGTGTCGTACACTTTACTCTTGAGGTAGCCCCATAAAAAGAAGTCCATTGGGGTCAAATCTGGACTACGTGGTGGCCAGGAAATGTCTCCTCTTCGAGAAATTACTTTGCTGGGAAAAAGTTGACAGACGACGGGCATAGAAGTGTTGGAGGTGTGGGCAGTTGCTCCGTCCTGTTGAAACCAGGTCTGCGTATTATAGCCTGGAAAATTCTGCAACGCTGATGTCAAAAACTCTTCTATCATTGCTACATACCGCTCCGAAGTAACAGTTAATGCGCGACCTCTGTCGTCCTCAAAAAAATAAGGGCCTACGATGCCATGCGCTGACATAGCAGCCCAAACTGTAACTTTAGGGCTATGTAAGGGCTTCTGATGCTTACGCCTTGGATTTTCGGGGCTCCAATAATGGCAATTTTGTTTATTTACATACCCGTTTAAATGGAAGTGAGCCTCGTCCGAGAACAACACATTATTGAGCGAAGAAAATCGATTCAACATTTCATTCGCAAAGTTTAGTCTCTGAATAGCGTCATTATCTTTTAATTCCTGCACTAACTGAATTTTGCAAGCGTGCAGACGTAAATCTTTCCTTAAAATCCGCTGTAAAGATGTTCTGGGTACGTTTAGTGCACTGGAACGCTTACGAGTAGACTGGGTAGGATTTTGACGAACAGACTGTGCCACAATGTTGATGTTTTCTTCAATACGAGTTGTCCTTGGTCGACCCCACCGCTGTTTATCTAACGTCGAACCAGTCTCTTCGAACTTAGCAATCCAGTTCTTAATCGTTTGAGCTGTTGGACACTTTGTAAAATTGTGTAAATTGTGGTATTCTCGATATTTACGCGGCGCAATGGTTGCCGAATCATTATTTTGATAAAACGCGCGCACACAAAAAGCACGATCCGCTCCAGTGAAACACTCCATGGCGACTGAATTCCCAGACACTGAAGATACTGCCCCCACCTCGCCCGCGCCGCTCACGCTCACCCGTTAAATTTTATTCAAATTTGAAATTTCAAAGGACTTATGGACCACCTTGTATAAGGTTGACCTAAAACGATATCTAAAACAAAAATACTGAGAAACATGTTTAGTACCCACTTATTGTTTTTTTCTAAAAAAGAATTTTATAAATTGTATTTTCATGTTTGTACAACTGTATTTAAAGGTTTAAAATACAATGCAAAAGGTTAAATCCGAGCTGTGTATTTATGACCGCCCTGGTATGGTAGGGGAATCACCGTGCAACGTCTGGTTGTACATTTCCCTTTATTCAACATGTATATTTTGTGGTGGATGGAATCCCGGACGACAATGTATGTGTATACTTACTCATATTGTCAGCTCCTCTCTGGTAGGGGTCCAAAGCATCCAAAAGTTCATCGGCCATGCCCTTCAGACGATTAAGTCCGTACTTCAGAAGTTCTCTATTGCAGTTCTCCAATGCTGATGTCTCACAGAAACCTTCCACTTGATTTGCGAACATTGAATACAAAAATGACATCTGAAACAAACAAAAAAAACTATGTCAGTACAGATTTTTTTCATCCAAACCGTCTTATTTTTGATTAAAGATATATACTAAGTGACATATAAATCCGAACACCCAGTTTAAATGGTTTTATTTTAATAAAAGTTGGTGAATGTATTTATCTTACTGTAAATAACAAGTGAAAAAATTTTCAGCCTTATCAGTGTAGACACTGTGGTTAGGTGTTGTCAGGCATGGCTTCGAGAAGGCCGTACGCAAAGAGCAAGGGGCACTGGACGCCGCCGTAGAACAACAGACCGTGAAGATCGCCGCCTAAGATTATTGGCCTTAAGGGATCGTTCTCCACTACCAGGTCCATTGCAAATGAATGGTTTGCAGAACACGGAAGACCTATTGGCATGCGAAGTGTTTACCGACAAACGAGAAGTTTTGGCTTGTTTTCATACCGGCCACACTGGGTCCTCCCTTTAACTCAAGAACACCAACGTAATCGCCTTGAGTGGTGCAGACAACGGTCACTCTGGGATCAGGAATGGAACAGTATTGTCTTTAGTGACGAGTCTCGATTTTGTTTAGGCATGCACGATGGTCGTGCCAGGGTTAGAAGGCGACGTGGTGAAAGAAGGAATCCACAGTTTTTTGTTGAAAGACGTGTTCATCACACTGTTGGAGTTATGGTTTGGGGTGCTATAGCTTATGGTTCCAGGTCACCTTTAATCTTCATCAGAGGTAACATGAACGCGCAGCGTTATATCCACGAAGTTCTAGAACCCCATCTTTTACCCTATCTTGACACGCTGGCAGATCCAACTTTCCAACAAGTTAATTCCCGACCACATGTTGCAAGAGTCACAATAGACTTCTTTCAACATAATGATGTCACATTGTTAACATGGCCTCCAAGATCTCCCGACTCGTCTCCAATTGAGCACGTGTGGGATATGATGGGTAGGAGATTGCTCAATTTGCAACGTCCTCCTCAGACTCTAGAAGCACTTCGAGAGGAGTTGGTGGTTGCCTGGAATGAGATACCACAGGAGGACATTGACCACCTGATCAGAAGCATGCCTAGGCGCGTTGGAGAATGCGTAGCACATCAGGGTGCATCCACACATTATTAAAGGTCAAAGGGCTTTAAAGCAGTGCAATCATTTTAAAATTTTTATCATTTACTTATTATGCTTCATTAAGTACTTATACAAAATTTTATTAAAATAAAACCATTTAAACTGGGCGTTCGGATTTATATGTCACTCAGTATATTAAATGTTACAATCCTTCTACTGGTTAAATATTTAAAGTTAAAGTTATAAATATCTAGTAAAATGCACCCCACGCTTTTTATTCTGAATTGAATTATTCTGTTAATAGCTTAAATTTTATTATAATTTTATTTTGTGGTCATTAATTATAATTGATTGTCCGATTATCTACTACTGTAATATAAACTTTTTGTAATTAAAAATTATTTTCTACTTTTTAGTGCGGTTCGCTATAAAAGCGTGTTTTTTGCAGTTTCCTCAAACTATTGTTTATCTCGATTTTAATGGAGTTGCACATTTTGAATTCTTGCCGCATAGTCAAATAGTCACCCGGAACTAATGCAGAAAGAGGTACCAGCGTTGCAGCGAGACTCCCCACACAGCGTCGTCAATTGGCCAGACCGACACACAGACCGACGGAAAGTAACATGGTTTTCGTCATGTTCACGTCATATAACATCCAGAAAACATCTCATTTTCTAAAATTTCCAATACATCCCTTCAGAAGGCGTGTGAAGTAAAAGTGAAGATATAAGAATGAAGCTCAATTATTTTTTGAACAGACCTCGTATTAGATTTATTTTATGTACTTAGATCATAGTGTCAGCTTCTATTACCAAGAGCTACTTTACGCTAACAGAAGATATACAGGGTGTGAACATTATGGTAGTCATTATGACTTCACTTCTGTCGATACACTTGATGTTGGTATTTCAGACCATTGTGTTTTGACTTTTAAAATTAATTTCCCTAAGGCGAGTAGATATGAGAAGTTTTTAAGATACCGCGATTATTCAGAGTCTGACGCTTATTTTATAACGATCTACATTCTGTTAATTGGAGCTTCATCTACACACTATCAGATGTAGACTCTATGGTGGATCATCTTGAAGTAAATCTGAAAACTCTCTTTAATCGCCACGCACCTTATCGTCAAGTGAGGGTTAGTAAGCCGCCTGCTCGTTGGCGTACATATAATTTAAAAATAATGATGTCACTTAGAGATAAAGCTTTTAAAAAATATAAATGTATTAAAAGTACAGCGGCTTACAACTACTATAAGGAGTTAAGGAATTATGTTACTGGTGCGATCAGAAGAGAGAAAGCTGCGTATTTGAGTTATACCCTCACCAAAAGAAATCAAAAATCAACATGGAACTCACTTAGATCTTTGGAGATTCTGCGCGAAAAAAAGTTATCTGAACTACCACCCAAGTTAAAGAATAGCAACACTGTGAACGCATATTTTAATAGCGCCCCAAATCTGACTAAAAGTCAACTTCAAACTGATATGCTTAGAAAATACGATACCCACGTAATGCAAGCTCATGAAGATTCTTTTAGATTCACAACAGTTAGTTCCCACGCTGTGTTCAATTTTCTTAATAAAATTAAAAGCAATGCTGTAGGCTTGGATAATATTTCGTTACGTATGTTACTACTAGTTTCCACTTATTTGATAGAGTATATCACGTTTATTTTAAATTTCTCAATCACATTTGGAACATTTCCTCTTGCATGGAAGCATGCTTTGGTGAGGCCAATACCTAAATGTAACTCACCTGATGAGCTCTCTCACCTAAGACCGATTAGTATTCTGCCTACCCTATCAAAACTCCTAGAACTCATCATGAAAGACCAAATGCTATTCAAAATAATATTATTACTAGCTTCCAGTCAGGTTTTCGTCCTCATCATAGCACCTCCACGGCTTTAATGAAGATTACGGATGATCTTATTAGAGCAACTGATCAAGGTAATTGCACTTGTCTTGTGTTACTCGACTTCAGCAAAGCTTTCGACACCTTAGACCAAGACACGCTTCTCACAAAATTGATATACTTCGGTTTTTCTTATAAGTCGGTTCTACTTCTTGAGAGCTACTAAAAAAATCGCACTCAGAGTACAGTTATAGACGATAATTACTCTTCCTCGTTGAATAAGGTTTTCGGTGTTCCACAAGGTTCGGTCTTGGGTCCACTCCTTTTCAGCTTCTACACAAGTGACTTTCATGATTTTATTAATTTTTCTCAGTTACATCATTATGCCGATACCCAGATATATATATATATATCGTTCTCCGCATCCAAAGCTGTTACTGCACAGATTGAACTGAATAAAGATTTAAAATCTCTATATAACATATCTATAGCACATAATTTACAGCTAAATCCGAAGAAATCACAAGTCATGATTTTTGGCAATAAAAATAAAAGACCTAATCTGCATGGCACATTTTCAGTTACTATAAATGATGTATCTTTGCCAATAATCAGTGATGATTAACAATGATTAACATAAGAAAACTTCATTTTCTCACATCAGTACCCAAGATCGTTACTAGTGGAACACCTACTTATCTATACAATAAACTTACCAGACTGCCTGATAATAAAGTAACTCGCAATAAACATCTTTTGGTTATTCCTAAACATTCAAAAGCTCTGTTTAAGCGCAGCTTTTCATACAATGCTGCGAAACCGTATAACAGCTTGGCAGTAGATCTCAAGAATCTGAGCCTCCGCAATTTTAATAAAAGATTGAAAGCTGATCTCCTGCACGACCAAGGGCCTAAAGTATAAGCAAACCTCGCTACGTTTTAAAGGATAATGTCCCAGTATGTTTCTTTTTAAGTCGCCTTGTTCTTTTTTGCATGAATTGTGCTCTCATAAAAACTGCATTGGCCATGCTCTCGTATGTTCTGTTTTGTATTGCATATTATCTTTTTTTATATATATACATATTTTGTATGAGTCTTATTTTTTTGTGGGTTTAGTTGAAAAGCAGCTTAGGCTGAACTACGCCTTTCATCATTTTATCTTTAATTTTTTTATCCTCAAGTTATTTATAATGATGAATAAAGACCATTTATTATTATTATTATTATTATTGAAATGGGTAATAGGGAGAGTCAAAACAAGTCAAGTTCATATGACCCATGGTCCAAAAGTCAATAGATTTTTGTCTTTAAGTGCTTTATATCCACCACAATCACCACAATCTTACTAATTTTTATAATCTAATCTAAAACGTTTTTAAGATGGGTAACTAACAAATAAATGGCATTAAGTTTTTCTAAGTTAAGCCAAAATTTGTAGTCAGTAAGTGAGTAAGTTTCATTAAATTAAATATTTAAAACACACATGACAACAGCGCGTCGGTCATTCATCATTCTTATCGAACCGGCAATCGATCGCAAACGGTAACAGTGGTTAGTTATTGTTCGCGTACGTCGTCGTGTGTATTTACAATGTTCTCGAATCAAGAGTTCGTGAAGGTCATTTCCAACAACGTTTTAAAATAAATATTTGGACGGGTATTCTTGACGATCAGGTAATTGACCCTTTCGAGTTACCCCCAAAGTTGTCAGGAGAACGATACCTTACTTTTCTAGCCAATAACCTACCAGAACTTTTGGAACAGACCTTAGACAACATGCCATTACAAAGGAGACAGAATTTGTGGTTTCTTCATGACGGGGCACCACCACACATTTTTAGAGGCCTTATTCAGTATTTGAATGAATATTATCCAAATCGCTGGATCGTTCGAAATGCTCCTGATCCTCGAAAATAGCCAGCAAGATCTCCTGACCTCAATCCGATGGATTTCTGGTATTGGGGAGAACTTAAAGGGATGGTTTATGGGGCTGGCCCAATAACAACTGATGCACAACTTCGCGAAAAAATTTTAATGCGGCTGAAAAAATAAATAGACAACTTCGAGGACCTAGAGGAAGAAGAAACTGAG